ACCAATTATCAGATGTAAGGAATCAAAATGAATTCCAGTGCATCCAAATATAATTTAAGACTTTTTCACTAAAGACTAAAAATAAAAATAGTTTATATGTCGTTTTTACATTTTAATCCATATCATGAATATTGGCATGCTACATATTCAATGCATTTAATTTTCCATGCCCACAAGAAGAATTATTTATATATTTGGCCAAAAAAGATCAAATAGCTTCTATTTTTTAATTTAAATTCAATTAATTAACATATATTAGTTTCAGAGGTAGAGTTCAGTGATTCATCAGTCTTATATAATACCCAGTGCTCATTACATCATGTGCCCTCCTTAATGTCCATCACCCAGTTACCCCACCCCCCGCCCACCTCACCTCCAGCAACCCTCAGTTTGTTTGCTATCATTAAGAGTCTCTTGGGGCGCCTGGGTGGCTCAGTCAGTTAAGCGTCTGCCTTCGGCTCAGGTCATGATCTCAGGGTCCTGGGATCGAGCCCCGCATCAGGCTCTCTGCTCCACGGGAAGCCTGCTTCTCCCTCTCACACTCCCCCTGCTTGTGTTCCCTCTTTCGCTGTGTTTCTCTCTGTCAAATAAATAAAAACTTAAAAAAAAAAAAAAAAAAGAATCTCTTATGGTTTGTCTCCCTCTCTGATTTTGTCTTGTTTTATTTTTTCCTTTCTTCCCCTATGATCCGTTTTGTTTCTTAAATTCCACATATGAAGAGCTCGGCATTTTCAGTTGAACTCTTTTTTGAACTCTTTTTTCAGCTACTGGTTAAAAACATTCAGAAACTCAATTAACTTCTTTATTCTAGACTGTATCTACTTCCCCTCCAAGATCAGCACATAAATACTGTTTGAATGCTGAGAAGAAAATAAAAGAGCACAAGCAAACCACAGCCAACTCCTCTAAATATTATCCAACTATGTTTGTTATGGCACATGAGTTGGTATTACAGTGGCCAGAAAGAATAGTTGTTCTCCAGGCATTTACCAGGGAGAAAAATCTCAACCCCCATGTCACCCAATATTTATTATTATAAGCTCTGTTAAAAAAAGCAATATTCAAGGAGGATTGCCTGAAAGATGCATAGACATTTCAGATTTTATAAAATATATTCCTTACTTAAACCAAATTGGCAGGGATCTGAGAACCTAGACTACAATATATTGGCTCCTTTAAGAATTGCTTTTTTGGGGGTGCCTGGGTGGCTCCGTCAGTTAAGCAACCAATTCTTCATTTCAGCTCAGGTCACAATCTCAGGGCCATGAGATTAAGCTTCGTGCAGGGATCCACACTGGGACGGGAGCCTGCTTAAGATTCTCTCTCTCCCTCTGCTGTACTCTCTCTCTCTCTCAAAAATATTTGCTTTTTCTGAATTGTAGTCTTATCTGGTGTCATTTGCTTATACTTAAGGTAGTTATAAGAAAGTGACCTAAGAAAGCCATTGTTTCATCTATTATAAGACCATTATAAAGGATGTTCACTTCATTGCATGGAGCCCTTTAAATGAGTACTTCCAGGAGAAACTCTTGACTATACTTTGAATCCTAAATTTCTGTACTTCTTCTTTTTCTTTTTGGAGAGGGAGGGGGGAGGGGGGACAGGGAAAGGGAGAGAGAGAATCTCAGGCAGGCTCCACACTTGGTGCAGAGCCCAACGTGGGGCTCAGTCTCACAATTTTGAGATCATGAAATCAAGAGTCAGACACTTAACCAACTGAGCCACCCAGGTGCCCCTGAACTTAAAAAAAAAAAGATTTTATTCAATTCCAGTTAGTTAACATACAGTGTAATATTATTTTCAGGTGTAGGGCGCCTGGGTGGCTCAGTTGGTTGAGCGACCGCCTTCGGCTCAGGTCGTGATCCTGGAGTCCCGGGATTGGGGCCGCATCCGGCTTCCTGCTCAGTGGGGAGTCTGCTTCTCCCTCTGACCCTCCTCCCTCTCATGTTCTCTCTCTATCATTCTCTTTCTCTCTCAATAAATAAAAAAAATCTTTAAAAAAATATCATTTTCAGGTGTAGAATTAAGTGATTCAACACCTATATACAACACCTGGTGCTTATCAAAACAAATGCCCTCCTTAATCCCCATTACCTATTTAACCCATCCCCCCACCCACATTCCCTCTGGTAACCATCCATTTGTTCTCTATAATTAAGAGTCTGGGGGTGCCTGGGTGTTGTAGAATCACTGAATTCTACTCCAGAAACCAATATTGCATTGTATGTTAACTAAAATTTAAATTAAAATTTTTTTAAAAGTCTGTCTCTTGGTTTGCCTCGTTTTCCCCCCATGTTCATTTGTTTTGTTTCTTAAATTCCACATATGAGTGAAATCCTATGGTATTTGTCTTTCTCTGACTTATTTCGCTTAGCATAATACTCTCTAGCTCCATCCACGTTGTTGCAAATGGCAAGATTTCATTCTTTTTTATGGCTGAGTGATACTTAATAATAAATTCTCTCTCTCTCTCTCTCTCTATATATATATACATCTATACATAGATGTATATATACCACATCTTCTTTATCCATTCATCAATTGATGCATATTTGGGCTCTTTCCATAAGTTGGCTATTGTTGATAATGTTGCTATAAACATCGGGGTGCATGTATCCCTTTAAATTAGTATTTTTGTATTCTTTGGGTAAATACCTAGTACTGCAATTGCTGGATGGTAGGGTAGTTCTAATTTTATCTTTTTGAGGAACCTCCATACTGCTTTCCAGAGTGGCTGTATCAGGCCTACCTCAAGAAGCAAGAAAAATCTCAAATAACCTAACCTTACACCTACGAAGCAGGAAAAAGAACAACAAATGAAGCCTAAAGCCAGCAGAAGAAGGGAAATAATACAGCTTATAGCAGAAATAGATGATATAGAAACTAAAAAAAACAATAGAACAAATCAATGAAACCAGGAGCTAGTTCCTTGAAAAAATTAATAAAATTAATAAACCCTAGCTAGAGCTATCAAAAAGAGAAAGGATCCAAATAAATAAAATCACAAATGAGAGAGGAGAACTAACAACCAACACCACAGAAATACAAGCAATCATAAAAGAATATTATGAAAAACTATATGCCAACAAATTGGACAATCTGGAAGAAATGATAAATGCCTAGAAACATATACACTACCAAAATTGAAATAGGAAGAAATACAAAACTTGAACAGACTGATAACCAGCAAAGAAATTGAATCAGTAATCAAAAATCTCCCAAAAAACAAAAGCCCAGGGCCAGACGGCTTCACAGGGGAATTCTACCAAACATTTAAAGAAGAGTTAATACCTATTCTTCTCAAACTATTCAAAAAAGGAAAGAAGGAAAGAAAGGAAGAAAGGAAGAAAAGAAAGAAAGAAAGAAAAGAAAGAAAGAAAGAAAGAAAGAAAGAAAGAAAGAAAGAAAGAAAGAAAGAAAGAAAGAAAGAAAGAAAAAGGAAAACTTCCAAATCCATTCTGAGGCCATGATTACCCTGATACCAAAACCAGATAGACTCCACTAAAAAAAGAGAACTATGGGCCAATATCTCTGATGAGCATGGATGCAAAAGTTTTCAATAAAATACTAGCAAATCAAATCCAACAGTACCTTTAAAGAATCATTCACCACTCAAGTGGGACTTATTCCTTGCTGCAAGGGTGATTCAATATTTGTGCTTCCTCTCAACACCAGTTTATATTTATCTCACAAACATTGTCAATAGAGTATTTAGTTATGTTTCCCTTTTCATGTTCACTGCTAGGAACCTAGCTTAGATTCAAACTTGTAGATGACCCAGAACAAATATTTAGGTCATTATAGTATGCAATTTGGGCTTTGTTCCCAGCTTCATTCAGTATCCTCTCATTTTTTTCTTCTTTCATCCTACTTTTTATCTTTATGTTCCTTTGTTGCATTTTATCTAATTTCATAAGCTTCCTTAAATCTTTTCTGGAGCATGGGGATACAAACAAATATAAAGTTCTAAACAAATGTATTTTTTTTAAAGATTTTATTTATTTGTCAGAAAGAGAGAGAGCACAAGCAAGGGGAGCACAGGCAGAGGGAGAAGCAGGCTCCCTGCTGAGCAAGGAGCCTGATGGGGGACTTGATCCCAGGATCCTGGAATCATGACCTGAGCCTAAGGCAAACGCTTAAGTGACTGAGCCACCCAGGTGCCCCACAAATGTATTTTAATAAAGCTTGTATCTATTTTTATAAATCCATTTGGTATCCTGGCATACTGTATCCTTCCAAATACCATTCTTAGAAATACTTTTAGATATCAACTTTTCTTATTTTAAGAAGCAGCATAATAAAATGTGGTAAGCTTTCTATTCCCAACAACTCCTTTCTATAGGAAGCCACCAGCAAAGAGAGTAAGCAAAAACAGTCTTAAGCAACCCATTCTTAAGAATGGGAAAGAGACTTAGAGACAAGATGTACATTGTAAAATGCAGTGCCCTGTAAGATGTGATCTACAGGCTGGTACCACTCTGTGACAAGAAAGGTACAGAAACTGAGAATAGTAGCTAGAAAATTTTATAACAATTAGAGAAAGTGATAATAAATCGGACTGGAATCCGATAATAAAAAATACGGATTGGGGGCACCTGAGTGGCTCAGTCAGTTGAGAGTCTGACTTCGGCTCAGGTCATGATCTCAAGGTCCTGGAATTGAGCCCTGCGTTGGGCTCCCCGATCAGCAGGAAGTCTGCTTATCCCTTTCCCTCTCCCCTGCCCCCCTCTGTCCCAACCAAGCACGGTGATAGCCAAATTTGTACCGGTAGTTCATGCTCTCTCTGTCTCTCTCTCAAATAAATAAATAAAATCTTTTTTAAAAATGTGGGTTGTATTTTGTATGTGCATTTTTCCCCCCTAGCAATCCATATTCATTGAGTGTCAGTCCACAATGGATTAGCAATTAAAAACAGCACCATCCACACCAACAACAACCTAAAAACTGGTTCTTCACAAAAAAACAGTTTGAGAAGCACTGCTTTAAGGGTCTTATCCTACCTTCCCACGGTCACAATGCAGGAAGAGTTCAGCAAACATCTGCCTCCACATGTCCGTTTTTATGACCTCCCGGAATTCATCTGCACAATGACAAATGTGCTTAAGGAGATTCTCAAACATTTCACTTTTAAAGTCTGCAATGTGTGAAGAGATGTACTGCAGAGAAAAAGAAGATAAATGATTGATTTAAAACCGGGCTCTTTACTTGGATTTTTCCAAGGATTCAGTCAATGTACATGAAAGCATTGGCTACAATTTTTTTCCATATCATTTGTTTGTTACATAGATAAAGCATTTTCATGTTAGCACTATTCTACAGCTGGGCTGCAGAGAGAGGTGATCAATACAGTCCCCAAAACCGCACCAGTGAGACTATTTTTGGAGCAATTCCCCTCTAGATCACATCAGCATTATATAGGGCAGACTTTTTACCTCACAGTATGAAATAGCAGCAGTTAGAAAACGTTGCCTGTAAATTAATAGTTCTAAAAATTGAATGTAGCTTTTCTTTTGATGTATGGTATATAAGACCATGCTTTTTCCAAGACTGGCTACATTTAATTATTGGAGTGTAAGGAATGGGGATTGTGGGTGGTTTTTCTGTCTTCTGATATTAAAACAAGGTATCTTTGGCTATTTTTTAAATTATTTTGAAAGTGTAGAGTCTGAAAACATCTATGCTTGTGGGCCATTTTTCTTGATCCCTGTTGAATAGATTCCCAGAAGTGGGATTGCTAGCTTAGAAGGTAAATGCATCTGTATTTTTGATAGGTTTTGACATCAGGCTTGTGACCTTTTGTGCTTCTACCACTAATGAACAAGTGGTTATTTCTCCTCAGCCTTACCACCAGTGTATATTGCCTTCTGGATTTTTGCTCATTTGATGAGTCAGGAACATTACATTTTTTTTTTTAAGATTTTATTCTTTTATTTGAGAGAGAGAGAGAGAATGAGAGAAAGAGAGCAAAAGAGGGGGGAGGGTCAGAAGGAGAAACAGACTCCCCGCTGAGCAGGGAGCCTGCCAGGACTCGATCCTCCGACTCCAGGATCATGACCTGAGCGGAAGGCAGTCGTTCAACCAACTGAGCCACCCAGGCGCCCAGGAACATTACATTCTTGATCTATACCTGGTGTATGTGTTATATATGTGGATCTAGCACTGGAAGAATTTCTTTTTATTTTTTTTTTAATTTTTTTCTTATGTTAATCCCCATACATTACATCATTAGTTTTAGATGTAGTTTTCCATGATTCAGTTTGTGCATAACACCCAGTGCTCCATGCAGAATGTGCCCTCCTCAATACCCATCACCAGGCTAACCCATCCTCCCACCCCCCTCCCCTCTAGAACCCTCAGTTTGTTTTTCAGAGTCCATCGTCTCTCATGGTTCGTCTACCCCTCCGATGTCCCCCCCTTCATTCTTCCCCTCCTGCTACCTTCTTCTTCTTCTTTTTTTTTTTCTTAACATATATTGCATTATTTGTTTCAGAGGTACAGATCTGAGATTCAACAGTCTTGCACAATTCACAGCGCTCACCAGAGCACATACCCTCCCCAGCGTCTATCACCCAGTCACCCCATTCCTCCCACCCCCCACTCCAGCAACCCTAAGTTTGTTTCCTGTAATTAAGAATTCCTCATATCAGTGAGGTCATATGATACATGTCTTTCTCTGTTTCACTTATTTCGCTCAACATAATACCCTCCAGTTCCATCCACGTCATTGCAAATGGCAAGATCTCATTCCTTTTGATGGCTGCATAATATTCCATTGTATATATATATACCACTTCTTCTTTATCCATTCATCTGTCGATGGACATCTTGGCTCTTTCCACAGTTTGGCTATTGTGGACATTGCTGCTATAAACATCAGGGTGCACATACCCCTTCGGATCCCTACTTTTGTATCTTTGGGGTAAATACCCAGTAGTGCAATTGCTGGATCATAGGGTAGCTCTATTTTCAACTTTTTGAGGAACCTCCATACTGTTTTCCAGAGTGGCTGCACCAGCTTGCATTCCCACCAACAGTGTAGGAGGGTTCCCCTTTCTCCGCATCCCTGCCAACATCTGTCATTCCCTGACTTGTTAATTTTAGCCATTCTGACTGGTGTGAGGTGGTATCTCACTGAGGTTTTGATTTGGATTTCCCTGATGCCGAGCGATATTGAGCACTTTTTCATGTGTCTGTTGGCCATTTGGATGTCTTCTTTGGAAAAATGTCTGTTCATGTCTTCTGCCCATTTCTTGATTGGATTCTTTGTTCTCTGGGTGTTGAGTTTGATGAGTTCTTTATAGATTTTGGATACTAGCCCTTTATCTGATATGTCATTTGCAAATATCTTCTCCCATTCTGTCGGTTGTCTTTTGGTTTTGTTGACTGTTTCTTTTGCTGTGCAAAAGTTTTTTATCTTGATGAAGTCCCAATAGTTCATTTTTGCCCTTGCTTCCCTTGCCTTTGGCGATGTTTCTAGGAAGAAGTTGCTTTGGCTGAGGTCGAAGAGGTTGCTGCCTGTGTTCTCCTTTAGGATTTTGATGGACTCCTGTCTCACATTGAGGTCTTTCAACCATTTGGAGTCTATTTTTGTGTGTGGTGTAAGGAAATGGTCCAGTTTCATTCTTCTGCATGTGGCTATCCAATTTTCCCAACACCATTTGTTGAAGAGACTGTCTTTTTTCCCTTGGACATTCTTCCCTGCTTTGTCCAAGATTAGTTGACCATAGAGTTGAGGGTCCATTTCTGGGCTCTCCATTCTGTTCCATTGATCTATGTGTCTGTTTTTGTGCCAGTACCATACTGTCTTGATGATGACAGCTTTGTAATAGAGCTGGAAGTCCAGAATTGTGATGCCGCCAGCTTTGCTTTTCTTTTTCAACATTCCTCTGGCTATGCGGGGTCTTTTCTGGTTTCATATGAATTTTAGGGTTATTTGTTCCATTTCTTTGAAAAAAGTGGATGGTATTTTGATGGGGATTGCATTGAATGTGTAGATTGCTTTAGGTAGCATTGACATCTTCACAATATTTGTTCTTCCAATCCATGAGCATGGAACGTTTTTCCATTTCTTTGTGTCTTCCTCAATTTCTTTCATGAGTATTTTATAGTTTTCTGAGTACAGATCCTTTGCCTCTTTGGTTAGATTTATTCCTAGGTATCTTATGGTTTTGGGTGCAATTGTAAATGGGATCAACTCCTTAATTTCTCTTTCTTCTGTCTTGTTGTTGGTGTATAGGAATGCCACTGACTTCTGTGCATTGATTTTATATCCTGCCACTTTACTGAATTCCTGTATGAGTTCCAGCAGTTTTGGGGTGGAGTCTTTGGGGTTTTCCACATAAAGTATCATATCATCTGCAAAGAGTGAGAGTTTGACTTCTTTGTCGATTTGGATGCCTTTTATTTCTTTTTGTTGTCTGATTGCTGTGGCTAGGACTTCTAATACTATGTTGAATAGCAGTGGTGATAGTGGACATCCCTGCCGCGTTCCTGACCTTAGGGGGAAAGCTCTCAGTTTTTCCCCATTGAGAATGATATTCGCTGTAGGTTTTTCGTAGATGGCTTTTATGATATTGAGGTATGTACCCTCTATGCCTATACTCTGAAGAGTTTTGATCAAGAAAGGATGCTGTACTTTGTCAAATGCTTTTTCTGCATCTATTGAGAGGATCATATGGTTCTTGTTCTTTCTTTTGTTAATGTATTGTGTCACGTTGATTGATTTGCGGATGTTGAACCAACCTTGCAGCCCAGGGATAAATCCCACTTGGTCGTGGTGAATAATCCTTTTAATGTACTGTTGGATCCTATTGGCTAGTATTTTGGTGAGAATTTTTACATCCATGTTCATCAGGGATATTGGTCTGTAATTCTCCTTTTTGATGGGGTCTTTGTCTGGTTTGGGGATCAAGGTAATGGTGGCCTCATAAAATGAGTTTGGAAGTTTTCCTTCCATTTCTATTTTTTGGAACAGTTTCAGAAGAATAGGTATTAATTCTTCTTGAAATGTTTGGTAGAATTCCCCTGGGAAGCCATCTGGCCCTGGGCTTTTGTTTGTTGGGAGATTTTTGATGACTGCTTCAATTTCCTTAGTGGTTATAGGTCTGTTCAGGTTTTCTATTTCTTCCTGGTTCAGTTTTGGTAGTTTATACATCTCTAGAAATGCATCCATTTCTTCCAGATTGCTTAATTTGCTGGCATAGAGTTGCTCATAATATGTTCTTATAATTGTTTGTATTTCTTTGGTGTTGGTTGTGATCTCTCCTCTTTCATTCATGATTTTGTTGATTTGGGTCATTTCTCTTCTCTTTTTGGTAAGTCTGCGCAGGGGTTTATCAATCTTGTTAATTCTTTCAAAGAACCAGCTCCTAGTTTCGTTGATCTGTTCTACTGTTCTTTTAGTTTCTATTTCATTGATTTCTGCTCTGATCTTTATTATTTCTCTTCTCCTGCTGGGTTTAGGCTTTATTTGCTGTTCTTTCTCCAGCTCCTTTAGGTGGAGGGTTAGGTTGTGTACTTGAGACCTTTCTTGTTTCTTGAGAAAGGCTTGTATTGCTATCTACTTTCCTCTTAGGACTGCCTTTGCTGCATCCCAAAGATTTTGAACAGTTGTGTTTTCATTTTCGTTTGTTTCCATGAATTTCTTAAATTCTTCTTTAATTTCCTGGTTGACCCATTCATTCTTCAGTTGGATGCTATTTAGCCTCCATGTATTTGAGTTCTTTCCGACGTTCCTCTTGTGATTGAGTTCTAGTTTCAAAGCATTGTGGTCTGAAAATAGGCAGGGAATGATCCCAATCTTTTGGTACCAGTTGAGACCTGATTTATGACCTAGGATGTGATCTATTCTAGAGAATGTTCCATGGGGACTAGAGAAGAATGTGTATTCCGTTGCTTTGGGATGGAATGTTCTGAATATATCTGTGAAGTCCATTTGGTCCAATGTGTCATTTAAAGTCTTTATTTCCTTGTTGATCTTTTGCTTTGACGATCTGTCCATTTCAGTGAGGGGGGTGTTAAAGTCTCCCACTATTATTGTATTGTTGTCGATGTGTTTCTTTGCTTTTGTTATTAATTGGCTTATATAACTGGCTGCTCCCATGTTAGGGGCATAGATATTTACAATTGTTAGATCTTCTTGTTGGATAGACCCTTT